TATCTTTGAATATTTAAATTTAATTTAAATAAGTAGAAATATTTATATAAAAATATTAATAACATTTAATTTATCTTAATATTTTATTAAAGAACATAGACTTAAAATTGTAAAATATTTTAATGAAAACCTTAAAAGAATATTTAAACAATTCTATTTTTACAAAAACTCTAAATAGTAAAATTAATTAAATAACCTTCCTATCTTTATTTTGATAATAAGTCTATTAGAAAAATTTTAACTTACACTTTTTTAAGAGGGGTTAAAGTTTTTATTTATAGATATTTCTGATTCTTTAATTAATTTAAACTTATTAAAATTTATTAAATTAATAATAGTTGTTATAATTCATTTGATATTTGTAAGGATTATTATACCTCGAAATGTACTAGAATTAATTCAAATTCTACATTCAATAATATTTGTATTTTAAATGGAATTTGCTATTAAATGTCATTTAACTATTATGTTGGTAGAGATAATAAGTATTAGTGCTTACAAAACTAATAGTAAAGTGCCTATGGATTACTAAATTGCTATGATTCTACTTATATATGCAAAACAAGTAATCTTTTGATCTGTGTTTACTATTTAGGTGATTCTACATATTTAGGAAAAATTTCTAGTACAGGAATTTGTGCATAAATTGGTGCTAAAATATCAACGAGCGATTTTTAAAGTAAATTTATTGATACCCAATTTAAAATTATATTTATTATATTTAAAATAAGGTATTATCAACTTGAATCTAAATTATTGTTAAGATGATTCGTACACAATTTAGCTTATACTTCCTGTATATGCAGGAAGAGATTAGTAATATTCAAGATGCCTAAAAGCTGATTAAACATCATACCAAAACGTTGAATTATGTGCAAATGAGTAAAATAATTATCAAATGAAAATTAAATTAATTATATCAATTTATGCAGTTACTGTATTGCAAATAATAGTTGCAAAACAATTGGATTTGACGGAGTATTAATAGCTAAATTATAAAACGGTTATTGTGCTTAAGCTTAACAACCTGGCTCTATATAATGCGCCATCAAAATTTATAACTACTGCTTAAAAAATGGCACATGCAATTTGTTATCTAGTTCAGATACAAATTTTTCGGTATAAAATAAAATTTACCATTAAAATAAAATAAATTTTCTATACTAAAAAAGGGAGTTGACATAAATGGAAACTGTTTATCTAGGAATTAATCTGTTTCTATAGGTAGGATTCATTTAATTAATTACATTTCTATCATTTATAATTTATTTATTAGGTGTATTGAAGTGTGCATATTAACATTGCAAATATTCAACTTAACCTTAATAATTTGGGTGCTTTCTTTTAGATGGTAAACCAGGATTTGCTGGATCTGATTCTTCATAAAATTGCTTAGATTATAATAATGGATTTGCTAAACAGTAAATTTATTTTATAAATTTTAAATATTTAAAAAAAGGAGGAGGGAGAGAGTGAAATATTAAAAATTTTCAAATACCTAAATTAATAATTTCCTTTTTTCTTTTTAATTTTTACAAAAATTTAAATTTATCTACCTCCCTTCATATTTTTATTCATTATTTAACAATAAATTAAAAATTTTTATATATTTGACTTTTTTTAAAAACAACACTTTGATTTTTTGGCATATTTAATTTTTTAAAAGTAAATGTTTTAATAATTATTTTTTATTTAAAATGTAGATGTGCTTAATTGCCAATTGTTTGTTTTGATGGTATTAAATTAGTATGTTAATAAACTGTGGATTATGGATCAGTTGGTAATGGATGTTCTTAAGGCGGTAATTGTTAATAAATGTCATCTATATTTATTGGTAGAGATACTAATTATAAATGCTTTTATTAAGATTAAACTCCTTAAAGTGGTACTGTTGATAAATGTTTTAATGATACCTAAACTATTTGCTTAACAAGTGACAAGAAATAATGTATCTTGTATGCTAAATCTTCATAGTATTTAGGGTGTATTCAAAGTACTGGAATTTGTGCTTAATTAGGTTAACAAACTTCCAATTGGGCTCTTTAAAGTAAATTTATAATTTATGGTAGGTTTAAATAGTTCAACACTTTAAAATTAAAAAATAGTTATTGTTAATTTGAACAAAGGATATTGCTAAGATAACTAATTTAGAATTTAATAATTGTTACCTCCATATGTTGGAAGAGATTCAGTAAACTAATTATGCCTCTAAGAAACAACATAGTCCTCATAAATTGAATTTTGTGTTTAAGGGTAAGTTTAGAATTTAAGAAATCATAAAAATTATTTTTTTAACATATAGATATTGTATTGCAAATAATAAATGCTAACCTGTTGGTTTTGATAAAAAACTTATTGCTAAACTTTCAAATTAACAATGTGGTTTAGATTAAACATCCACAGCAATAGAATGTGCTTATTAAAGTTTGGATGTATGTATGTTAAATTAGCAATGTTTTTGGTTATCTGCTTAGAATTTGCTATATTCAGTACACTTTTTTATTTCTTATAATATTGTTTTTAAAATAAATTTTTTTATAAGGGATAAGATAATAACGGAAATTGCTTGTAAAGAGGCTAAATAACATATAGTAATATAAATTATCTATTTAATTTTAATAAACTTATTATTTTGAAAGGTATGAGAAAATGTTAATAAGACCATTGCAAATATTATTATAAGTATTCATAATATAATTCCTGCGTATATTTAGATGGGTCATACTATAAAGTTGGAATAACAGCAGATGGATTTTGCTTAAGTTTAAACGAATATCCAGCAATAAGGTAAAAATTATTTCAAGAAGAAGATTTTCTTACTTTTATTATATTTTGAAAATTTTAAATACATTTATCTGAAACTTAATATATGAAAATAGATGTACTGATTAGGTTAATTATATATGCTATGATAAGGACTCATAGACATGCATATAAATCAATATATCATCTAGAAATAATTATTGCAAATATTAAGGAACTTGCTATTAAATGTATTCGAGTTATTGGTCGTTTATTGGTAGAGATACAAATTTTAATTGTTTATCTTCAGGATAAATCCCAAGCACAGGATTAGTTTAGAATTGTTTTAATGATCCTTAAAACATATGTTAAAAAAACGATTAATCATAATGCATATATTATCCTTTTTATTCGAGCTACTTAGGTTTTATAAATTCGTCAGGTTTTTGTGCATAACCAGACTAAGCAACTTCTTCTTAATAAAAATAATTTTAAAGTAAACTTGAAATAATTATTTTAATGATAAATCTTTTTATTATTATAAATATTTAGTTATCACTAATTTGGATAGAAATTACTGCTAGGATGATAATTTTATAATTAGGAAGATATAAACTCCTTATGCTGGTAGAGAAGTGTAATATTAAAGGTGTCTAAAAGCTGACACTCTTCCAAATTAACAAATAGATTTTTGCTCTTAAGGGTAAAAATTTTTTTTTTTTTGAATAGAATCTTTAAGTTTTTTAAGTTATTGCATTTCGAGTAATTAATGCAAGAAAATAGGTTTTGATGGCAAATTAATATCAAAACTAGAAAATGGAAAGTGTGCTATTGATCGATAATATCGTGCAATTGAATGCGCGTATGAAACTTTAGATACATGTTTATATTAAGGTATGTGTTATTGGTTAACTGAGTAAGACACCTTTGCATCAGTAAAATTATTTATTAATTATATTTATACTTACAAAATTAATTTAGGGAGTGGATAAATATGGTGACTGTTTAGAAAGGGGTTACATCTCATCATGTAATTTAAATTTTATAAGAAGAAATTATTAAAATCAAATTATGCTTTTAAATAGACTTTAAGAAATGTTAATCAAATCACTGTTTTAAAATTTATCCCAAATATTTTTGGTACGGTGATGATGGAATAGGATGCTTTCTTCTAGATGGATCTTAGGGTTAGGCAGGTATAACTTCTACTGGATAATGTTTAGCTATCAATACTTCTTTTGCTTAGAGGTAATAATAATACATATTCGGCTTTATATGTAGATTATTCATATCCATAAATATAATTTAAAATCTAATAGATGTACAAATAAAACCAATTCAATTTGTTATGATTCTGCTTCTCAAAAATGTTAAATTACAATAGATTATGGGTCTATAGGAAACGGTTGTATTTTTAATAGTTAATGTTATTAATTTTCAATTCAATAATACATTGGAAGAGATATATAGCTTTAATGCTTGGTAAATAACTAGATAACGAGTTAAGTAGATACTTGCTTTAATGATGCTAATAATGTTTGCCTTAGTAAAAATAATAGCCAACAGTTATGTGCATTATATATACAGTCCTAAAAGTACTTAGGATATATTTCAGAAAATAAAATGTGCGCTATTTAAGACAATATTGCATATTAATAGGGTTATCTCGCAAGTAATTATTTTATATATTTAATAAAAATTTAAACATTTTTATTTTAGATTTATTAAACTTAAAATCTAACTTTTGCTAAGATGCTAATGGAATTATCCGAGCCTTAAATAATACTATATATGTTGGAGTAAGTAACCAAAATTACAAATGTTTAACTGTAAACTAAAACTCTACTAGCAATATTATTTAATGTTATATAGGGTAATTTTCAAGTCAAAGTAACAAAATAAAAATTAATTTTAACTAAACAAAATAGATTTTGTATGAATGTAAATTTTTGTTAAGCTTATGATGATACATATATTGGAAAAGCAAGTAACTAAACCTGTCTAAAAGTTGGATAACCTTAAAGTATTGAATGTGCAGTAAATTATTGTATAGAGCCAAATACATAAAGCTGTTAGCTAATAAATGATAATGACCCAAATTTTGCTGTAAAATAAAATAAAAATCTAATAATGATAACCATTTTAATAAATTATTTTAGGGTGTTTAGGCAAATTATAAATGTGCAGTTTTTGGTCAATATTATTAATGTAACATTATAAATTTTAAATAATTAAAAGTAAGTATAATTTTTTAAATAGAAATGTTGTAATGCTCAAGCAAATATTGCATTGATTATTAAGTTCCAGGTGATCCTACCACTTAATCAGGATGCTTTCTTTGGGATGCATCTATAAACAGAATAGGGATAGATAAAAATGGATATTGCACTTATTAGGACTAACCAAACGCAATCAAGTAATATTTATTAATAAATTTAAATTTAACTAAAATAAATCATAAAAAAAGATGTATATCAGGATAGTTTTGCTTAAATACTCGTTTTAGAAATTCATGCCAGTCTCTGTTATTATCATTTGATTAAAATAGATTTGCAAGAGAAAGATTAACTGGTAAATGCCTTCCTTATTTAGATCCAAAATAAGAAGGAGGTGATATTGAAACTTGCGTAGATGGTAGTTGCTTTTACACAGATCAAATTTCAAAGAAAAATTTCTGTCTTTCTTTGGGTATCTATGCTAAGGAAGATTTTATCGTTGGAATCGATATTTTAGGTTAGTGTTTAAAAAAGGACCAAATAACGAAAATTCGTAAATTTAAAAGAAACTATCAATCAATATTTTAAATTATTTTAATCAAAAAGTAATAAAATCTTGTTTAGGCTTAACATATTGTGCTCTTGATATTGGGTAAGTTAGATAAATATATAAATTATTTTTGCATTCATTAATAAAAATTTTTTATTTTAAATTCTTATTTATTTTTTTGAATGAAAGATAGGGGAATTACAAATGTCAAAAGCTTCAGTTAAGTGACAATACATATCAAAATCAAGCTTATTAAGCAAAAAATGTTAACTAAACTTGTTAAGGTCTTAACGAAGGTACTTAAAAAACTTAAATTTTATCTATATAAGATTTCATATTAAATAGAAAATAGTATTGGATGTTTAGATGGTTTATATTGTATCAATTAATAAACCAATAATAAATGTGAAGTAATGGATTCTAATGACCCAAATAAAATAGGCAGAAATTTTTTTAACCAATAATGTCTTCCATAAGGAGCTTAAGTTGCTATAATTTGCCAGTAGCAATATTGTATTTCTTCTGGAGCATGTGTACCTCTATCAGATAGAAATCCAGGCTAAGAAAAATAAACTTAAAAATGTTTGTAAGAATAATCATAAGGTTAATATGGAGCCTCTAATTGTTATAAAAATGGGTAATATTATTGCAAATCATTTGTTCGTAAATAATATACTTGAATCCCGCTGCTATTTTGCAAGCCCAGCTGTTGCGCAAAGCAGCGGGATTCATTTTTTCGATTCTCACAATTAAGGTCTTTGAACATTTTAGGCGTATGAGGTTGTTGGTGATAATTTATAATGTATTACTTAATTTAATTAAAAAATTTTTGAAACAATAAAAACTATGATTTCAATAAAATTATTATTCAAAATAAAGTTTTTTGAATTTTTTATCAGCTCAAAAATAGAATAAAAAAAATTAATGCAAATAAAATATAAATTTTAAATTGAGAAAAATTTTAAGAAATTAAGATCTTAATTAAATTTTTAAAGGAATAGTATGGGGAATAAAATTAATAATAATAATTTTAAGCAGAGAGAATAAAATTTTGATATATACTTAAAAGCGCATATGAACTTTTAGCTGTGCTATAGTTATTATGTAGCTAATTTTTTACCAAATTAATAAATAAAACTTTTTATCTAAATATTTTAATTAATTTATAAAATAACTACATTTATCTAAAAATTAGGATTATGTTAATAACTAGATTCTGGCCTTTGCGATATGTGTCCTGATAATTGCTGCTTAATTAATAAATCATGTTTAAATTAAAAAAGCTTATTAAAATTAGTTAATAATGGATAGTGTTTTGAACAAATCAAGAAGTTAAAAATCTGTGTAATTTAAAATTTAAATGTACCAAACTAGAATGGAAATATGAATTGTATGAATAATTAAAGTTTTTGTTAAGATATTTCTATTAAAAATAATGAATGTTTATCATGCCCTATGTACTTTATAAATCCAGGAGATTAAAAATGCTACAGCTTAGAATAAAAGTTAGAACATTCACCTGATCCTTAATAAGTATATTTTCAAATGCAATTAATTTATGTTAAATAAGACTGTTATGATTAAAACTTTTGTCTGACAAACTAACATCTCAAGTGTCCATAAGGGTATTATAATTTTATAATTTATTGATGATAAATATGATAATTTAAAAATAAATTAGTTGTTATTCATGCAACTTTCTTTCTTTCTGTACTTAATGTATTGAAGGTTACTTTTTATATCAAGAATCCAAAACAAAATCAGTTTGCATAAAATGCTTCAATCAGTAG